ATACTCAATGCTTATCCTGAGACATATAGACTAACAATAAAGACAAATCCAAACTGTTATTCCCCTGCAATTTTCCAAATGGACTTAAACATCTCTGATCTTTGTGAGTTTTGTTTTTTTACCCTACACCTATCCTACTTATTTCTCAAGAGATAGTTCCTATCCTATCCTATCCTCCAGCAAGCATTGCTAGTTATACATGCAGTCTGATTCTTAACTCATCTGAGTTTGCCAGTGTATACTGCTGCTAAAGTATCCTGTCACATTGTTTATCAACTATTAACTTATCCAGTTCATGTAAAAAACTCCGAATTTACTGAAAGTAGAAAACATAGTATATTTATCTTTGTATCCTCAGAGTCTGGAACACACATGGCATTCAAAAGTTCTATGACATTGTTGAATATGAAACTGTAGTTAGTAAGAAATATTTATAGAACAAAATTGAAAAGTTAACATAAAGATTATCTGCAAGATTGTGAAAGTCTTGAAAGCAGGAAGTGTTATACAATGCAAAACTGGAAACTGAGAAAACCCAAATTTAACTGATAAAACTAACTCCAAGCTCTACAAATTATGTCAGAACAAGACACTTTGTCTCCAAGACATTAGAAAAACTAGAAGACTTATCTTTATCAGCTATGAAATTATTTAATTAAAATGGTAGGACTTTTAAATAGTAATGAGGGCAAATAAAATATTAGAACATTAGGAGTCTTCCCAGTGCTATAAACAGAGGACAGACATGCCAAAACAATTTATAAAAGTATTCAAGATTCATTTCACATAGGAACCAATTATACCTCTTTTAAGGGTTATGTTTTAGTTACAAGCATATGTTCATTCTTTCCCATATAAGAATTCTCACCTTTTAGAGCATGTACTACTTTTTGCAATCAGTTTTGATCCTTAGAGAAGTTGGAATGAGATATACAGTGTAAAGTCTAATTAGTTTTCTTTAAAATCTTGATAATGGGAGCTGCATACTTTTTCTAGAAACACGTTATCAACATCTCAAAAGTTTAAGGGTTGTTGATATGTAGAATATTCTTTTATGTGTTTGAACTTCGCTTTGCTGATTTAAAGATGCTGTGCTATAGTTGGGAACCAGGAGAAAATACCAAAGTCAGAATAAACACTAGTTTATCATAAAATGCAGTTACATATTTTAGACATAAGTTTCTCAGACTTATGCAGTTCCTTTCAACCTGCAGTAATTAGCAAGTACTTTTTTGAAAATTTTATAGTTTACCAAGTTCAAACACACTACAGATTACACGTAACTTAGAAATTTTTCAGATTTTAAAAGTCAGTTTAGATAAGAAGGTAGGAAAATACAAAAACTTAACTACTATAGTAACAGAGAAAGTATTTCAGGGTACAACTTTAATGCCGTGTAACAAGTAAAAGAAACAAGTTCAGAAGATAGACTAAACAGTTAAAATAGGGGATACAAGGAGAGTATATGTACATAATTTAGTCTACGAAATATTTAGCCTTAAGTTATATGTCTAATGTATAATGAAATATAAAATATGTCTACTAGTAGGCAAAAATACCAACTTAATATTTGCAGTACTTAATGTATCATTCACTGCTAAATTACAGACTATTTCTATCTAATTCATCTATAACAAAATATTTACCAATTTCCTATTAGTGTCTTATTAGTAAATATCAGTCCATTTTATATCTAAGTTTCCTCTATTAATTTATATTTTATAAACAAGTTGAAGAATTATTCCCAGTCTAAGCCATAAACCTCAGACCTCAATGAAGGACTTGCAAATTAACTTGTTTGGTTGGGCTTTATTATTATTACTAATGGTAGCAGCAGCAGCAGCTTTTAAAATCTTGTTTTGTTTGTTATAAGCATATGTTTTATGCTTTTTCATACATAAAAAGGATACATAAATGATATAGTAAACCAAGTACTAAAGATATATTCCTTCAATTAATCTTCAGTCTCCAAAAATATGCATCCTTATATATACACAGTTTGGAGTATCCGAAGTCAAAAGAACACAACAGATTTTTATATTTAAATAACGTTTTACAAAAAAAAAAAAAAAAAGTTGTTTAAACAAATATGACTGTAATTCAACTAACTATATAACAAAAAACTCAAATTTAATTCACCCTTCCCCATAATCCACATGGGTAAGCCAGGGTAAAAAAAAAAAAAAATGTACCAGCACTGAGCGGGCTCAGTGGTTTAGCCTGTAATTCCAGCACTTTGGGAGCCCGCAGGTTCGAGACCAGTCTGGGCAACTTGGTGAGACCTCGTCTCTACAATAAAACAAAAAATTAGCCAGGAGTGGTAGCATGCCTGTAGTTCCAGTTACTTGGAAGACTGAGGCGGAAGGATTACTGGAGCCCGGTGGGGTGGACACTGGGGTAGCAGTGAGGGTGCCACCGCATTCCAGCCTGGGCGACAGAGAGAGACTACAACTTAAAACAACAACAACAAAATGTACCAGCACCAGCCATCTTTGGGACTATTCCAGGTAGAATTCCAGTTCATGCCTCCCTGATATGGGGGGGCAGTCATTCAGCCCTGTCCCAAGTCACAGAAGAAATAGCAATTTTAAAAGCACAATTCTAGAAAGCATAACAAAGCAACTGATTATTTTTGTGTTTCTACTTAAATATAAAATGTTTCAAATTTCTGACTCGCTTGCATTTCACAAGTTGATGTATGATCTTTACTTGTTACAACTACCCAAAAAATAGCTCTGATCAACTTTCTGAACATGGTAAACTAAAAACCAATCTAGCTGCAAACTATTAATGTATATCTTAACATCACTCTTTAATCATAACAATTTATAATAAAAGAAAAATTTTAAAACTTGAAAATTTTATTAATAATGTGAGATCAGAAAACAAAAACCCACTTGAGATTAATACAGCTGCTACTTCAAAAACTGAGCAAGCACCCTGGGAAAATGCAGTACCCTTAAAGACAAGCTATTTCTATAACTTGAAACTGGGATTTTAAGAATATAGTTTTGTAAGCTAGCCTTATACTACACATAAGCCATTTGAAAACTGCAAACCTTAGATAAAGACTTTATTTTTGCCCATGGTCTATTTTTCAAATGCATATTCATAATTATATAAAAATTTTACACTGTACTTCATGTACAAATAAAGGTAAAAGATTTATCACATTCAGTCTAAGTTCCATACGTAGAGAATGGTTATTTACACACTGCATTCCTAAAATTCTTGTCACTGTCACACAGAAATGCATCAACATTTAATAAACTCAAATTATAAATATAAGCTTACTTAATGTTAAGATTGTATGCAAAAGCCAAGTCTTCAAATACACCACAATAGTTATACATGCCATGACGTGGTGGGGTGAGGGTAGAGATTAGTTACACTCATAAACCGAAGTCTTTCAGATTAAAGACTTTTCAGTGTTGCTACATTTAGACACAAGTACATTTGGTTACAGAATTGTACCCTAGAATTCTGAATAACATAACAAAAAGTAAGTTTTTGATACAGTAATCCCTCTAAGTAGATACTAGACCTCCTGACATCTATGAAGAGTGCACAAAATTACACAGGTATAAATCTAGAAACTGTTGGTAGCTATCACGCTGAGGCAAAGACTACACAGTCCACATCTGCAACCTAATTTTGCTTCAGCATCCCCAGAGACTTCGAAAATATTTCTTTGGGTAGATTGCAAAACAGTGCTTCCTCTTTTATTCCCATTACCCCCATTACGATACAAAGCAACAGACAAGAAAATCAAATCGCCAAGTGAAAGGGCTGAACGCTTAAAAAGCTTACACACACACACAAAGCATCTTCTTTCTAATGCCCGAATCGGTATTCATTCCACCTGTTTGTAAATTCATGCTTCCACAATAATACAGTCTGCTGATGAAAGGAAGACAAGGAAAGAAAGAAACGGAAAGAAACAAAAAAGGAAGGGAGGGAGGAAAGAAGGAAAGAAAGAGAAGCAAATTAATGATGCTTTGGAGTCATTATTCTTCTACCCAGGCTTGGGAGGGAGGGGGATGGTACAAAACAATGGATACTCAGGGGCTGGGGGGGGAGTCGTTTTGCCCCGAAGCCTCTTGCGTTATGGGGGGGGGGGCCGGCGGG